GGGGGTTGGGCGCACGTGTAAAAATTCAAGTTACTTTCAGGGTAGGTCATATTTTTGGGGAAACAGGGTAGTTTGATATTTTCCTGACATGGACCTCTCAAAGTACAGTTTGATATTTTCCTGACTTAAGACCTCTTTCTCCCGCAGTCACCAGCTAACAAAAGGAGTCTTGTGAACATCACATCTCCATACTCCAGAGAAAGACAGTTTTGTTTTGTTTTGTTTTTAAAAAAAATCAGGTTACAGATTGGAAGATTCAGAAGAACTAGCAGTAAAGTAAAGCATGGTACAGACATTTCTCCTTAACTTCTAATAATCTTTTGGAAGCAGATATGGCATGAGTAAAACTCAATAGTGGTGTGGTAACCCCTTTTCTGAACGACAGGCAGTCCTTGATATACGACCACAACGGAGACCAGAATTTCTGCTGCGAAGTGAACCGGTTGTTAAGTGAATTGCGGCCAATTTTCTGACTTTTTTTTTTTTGGCCATAGTTGTTAAATGAATCGATGCAGTGTGACCGCAAGGATTCTGTATAAGAGTGAAAAACAACCATAAAGAATAGAAAATAGAATAGTTTATTGGCCATTTTCAGTGCCCATGTGACTTTGAACGAATCGTTGTAAGTTGAAAAGTACCTGCAACGTTGCAAAGTTTATAAAAGACTGCAGGGACCTTTTACAATCTGCAGCTGATGGAATCTGATAAACTCATCATGGCGTTGCTATCTGATTCGTTTTTCGTCACGCATCGGATGAAGTAGCCACAGCTCATGAAAACTCGGGTCTCCTAACACAATTTCTTAGTTAGAAAAAGGGCCTCCGGTCTTCTCCAGGTTTTCAGGAGTGAGATAGGGTGGACAAAAGGAGCTTCATGGGTGAAAAAAAGGAAGCACAATCACCTTACAATCCATTCCACCACTCGAGGCCCTCGCTTGAGATAATCCTGATAAAATCGGACAAGGTCCATGATGAATCTATTTTATAATAACCTGGCAGATAAGGGGAAACTATTCTGCCAGCAGCCAACTTAATTACCTTCCTATCTTTTGCTGGGAGGCCCTGCTGTCAATGACCAGTTTTTGATTCGCATCTTCTAGCTCTCTCGCCGTGACGTCCAGTTGCTCGTAGACTTTGGCGTGCTGATCGTTCATTTGACGCAGAAGATCCACCTGCTTGGTAAGATACTGCAGAATGAAAACAGGTACAGGTATTAAACCAGCCTCTCCAGAGCAACTTTCATCATCTCGAACACGGGGAGTTGTCTTAATTTTAGGACTCGGGACATCATCATCCTCTTTTTAACATAATCCCCGTCTGGGCAACTGAATGCAGCGGAGTGTTTTACTGGCCAGATGCCCTTCCTGTCACTGATGCGGAGTAATATTCAGCAGATATATTCTCATTGTGCCCAGAGAGAGAAAAATACCTGTCTCTACTTAGGATCGAACTCACAGCCTCCTGGTGAGTTCTGCATGTGTGCCATTAGTATATGGCGCTAATTGTTTCCTTAACAAGAAAAGCTTTAAGTGTCAAAGAGGTGATGGAAACAAGGTGTTAAAATCCACAGCTGTTTCAGCAAGCTACTCAGGTTTCAGTCACTCTCATACTTAGTCCTCAACTTACGACCACAATAGCAATTTCTGGTGCCAAGTGAGACGTTCGTTGCGTGACCTTTGCCCTGTTTTATGACCTTTCTTGCCACAGTTAAGTGAACCTCTGCAATTCTTTTAGTTAGTCACACGGTTCACTGAATAGCTGCAGTGATCCTCTGAATGGCTACGGCCAAGATTGGAAAATTGGGCGAGAGACTTGCTTTCACCGCCTTGCTTAGGGCACATAAATCCTGGCTCCAACCGGTTGCAAGCTAAGGATTAACTAAGGCCTGCAAGCAAACCACCTAGCTCAGAGGGCATTGCGGACTGCACGAAATGAACCAAAGGTACGTCAAATCGGGTTCACACCACATACTCAGCCCCAGAAATCCCCGCAACAAGATTATCGGGCCACGAAAATAGCATTCAGCAGTTTAGCAGTTCAAATCCCACCAGGCTCAAGGTTGACTCAGCCCTCCATCCTTCCAAGGTCGGTAAAATGGGGACCCAGATTGTTGCGGGCAAGAGGCTGGTTTGGTAAATCGCTTAGAGAGGGCTGCATAAAGCACTGTGAAGCAGTATATAAGTCTAGGCTATATTGTGTGTGCTCTCTCTCTCTCTCTTATCTACCTAGTCTGTCTGTCTGTCTCTATATATATCTAAGAGCCGTGGTGGTGCAGTGGTGAGAATGCAGTATTGCAGGCTAATTCTGCCAGTAGTTCAATCCTGATCGGCTTAAGGTTATCTCAGCTTTCCAATAAGCAATAAAATGAGCACCCAGATTGTTGGGGGCAAGAGGCTGGCTTGGTAAACTGCTTAGAGAGGGCTGTGTAAAGCACTGTGCAGCGGTATATAAGTCTACCTGTTATTGCTTATCTACACCTGTCTTCATCTGGCCTGGTCTGAACATGAGCAATCAAACTTAACAGATTAATTTTCGACTGTTCCTCCAAATAAATGGAAGACGTCCCCAATGAAGAATTCCCAATGAAAAGGCATTTATGAGTTCACACATTTGCAAGTCAAATCTATGTTGGAAAATGTGGGATTTAATAGATTTAATCTATGCTCATTTGGCACCCAAGTAAGATCTGCTCCGACGTGCAACTGTTTGCATTTCACTTGTCTACAGGTGAGATGGTACAACACCCAAAGTTGAAAGTAAACCCCATGGTAACTCAATACGTGTTGACTCAGCTCCTGATGGTCTCCACTTTTACGAATCTTGGTGCAAATATGGTTGTTGGCCTGCCTCACCATACTTCTACATTATAACAGCAAACATGCAGAGCTGAAGGGGTAAATAATTCAATTTTATAAGGCCATCTTCGGTCACCTCTATTTCCTGCAGTTGTTCCTGGTTGGTGGAATACATCTGCTGCAGAGAGGACTCCAGTTCCGTGTTTCGGTCCAAAAGGGTCTTCCCCAGTTCAGCAGCAAGATGAAGATCTACAACAAATAGTGTGTATGACTTTATTTAATGCACCACCTTATTTTAAGTACTGTTATAGGCATTAAAAATAATCAAGTACGGTTTAATTTCTAGAGCAGGGGTGTCCAACCTTGGCAACTTTAAGACTTGTGGACTTCAACTCCCAGAATTCCTCAGCCAGCTTTAAGACTTGTGGACTTCAACTCCCAGAATTCCTCAGCCA